CTAAAACACAGATTTCCTGGCATAGGTTCCCACTCCAGACTAGGCATTACTTCCTTCTCTGAAGTAAGCATTTATACAATTACATTCACAATTTTGAAATACAAAAATATTTATTTAATTTTTACTTGCTTATTGCTAGTACTTAGTTTGCCCGGTTAAAACAGACCTTTGAACAGCAATTGTCCAGAATAACAGAATTCAGAATTAGCCATAGTGAAGCAGTACTTTATCTCCTGTGATATAGCCAATGTCAAATCTATACGTGAGCTCTCAGCTTTAGCTCAAGCTATGCCTCTTCTCTGTTGCAGGTTATGGACACACAGTGCCTTTATCTGACGGAGGAAAGGCTTTCTGCATCATCTACTCAGTCATCGGGATCCCGTTTACACTGCTTTTCCTGACAGCAGTGGTACAACGCTTGATTGTATGTGTCACCAGGCGGCCTGTTCTGTATTTCCATGTTCGCTGGGGCTTCTCCAAGCAGGTTGTTGCAATAATCCATGCTATAGTCCTTGGGTTCGTCGCTGTCTCATTTTTCTTCTTAATCCCAGCTGCAATATTTTCTGTTGTGGAAGATGACTGGAATTTTTTGGAATCTTTTTACTTTTGTTTCATTTCCTTGAGCACCATTGGCCTTGGAGACTATGTGCCAGGAGAGGGCTGCAATCAAAAATTCAGAGAGCTGTATAAAATCGGAATTACATGTAAGTGTCTAACTAACCAGCTAAATAAAATACATTTTAAAAAAAGAAACAAAACAAAAAACAACAGTAAAACCTAAAAAAAACTTGCCCTGTGCATTCTGTGGATGGTGATTGTTTTGTGAGCTGTCAGCTAGCATTGTAGGTAACTGTGCAGAGATGAAACCTTTAAGTAAGGTCATTTTTTTTAGTTAAAGCTAAAACCAGAATTCCATTGTACTAAACCATAGCTACTCACTCTCTTACTAATAGTAGAAAAAAATGCTCACATTACTCTTAGGAAAATGGTTGAGTATCTTGGGCTAAGATTTCAGTGCATCACAGAGCCAGGAAGAAGATCCTTGTAACCTAAGGTCATCTCGTCAGGTGAGGTAACAGGTGGACAGAAGCAAATCAAGGAGCAAGGGGAAATGAGGCAGAACAGCAAAGTTCCTGACTCCAGTTGTAACAGAAGGTAGTTGAAGCTGGCACTGGGATGCACCAGCTGTCAAAGAGAGGCAAGTAGACTGAGATTATAACAAAGCAAGACCATGGATATGAGATTGAAATTGTTTAATTATGTTAGACACAGAAGAGAGACACAGAAGAGAGGCACAGTGATCAGTGATTTGATCTAAGTAGAGCTAAGAAAATTATCTTAGTGTGGGCATTCTAAATGAATATATGCTGAAGGCAATAGTCTCTAGTGACAGTGTTTTGAAGCATCCCAGTTTCTGTTATGGCTGCAGTCTGCACAGTCCTGGGTCATCAGACTCACCGGTTAAAAGATCTGAATGGTCAAAACAAACCTTTCCTGTCAGATCTATTTTTTAGGCTGGTAATGCATTTACTTGTGTCCTGTGCATGATCCAGCAATCTTAATGCAGGTAAAGTGTCCATTGACATGGTTTTGTGATTTGCCTAAAGAAAGATTTGGCCTTGAATTTTCATTCCTTGAAGCAGGGCCTTGAACTAGTCAACGGAACACTCTATTTTTTTTTATTCTCCTGCCAGGCCTGTTGTCATTGCAGATTTCCCCCCTCTACCCATTGTGTTTACCTTACCAGCAGCAAGGTAACCTTACCAGCTTTTAGTTATTACTCTGACCTGCAGAGTTGATCTGGGCATGCTAAATGATGAAGTGAATGGAGAAAGTTATGCGTAGTAAAGGCCTTGTGAAAATTCTAGCCATTCAGAAAATGCAAAATCAGAAGAAAACATTATATATAGCTCAGACTTTCCTTTTTCAGACTTTAGAACACTTAGGAAATAAATTGCAGGAAATTCTAAAAGGAAAGAGTAACTTTTAGGCAAAGTTATGACCTTGGAATATTTAATTTCAACAATTTTAATGTTATAATTTTTAAACTATTCTTTTTTCTTTCATGTGAACGATTCAAGGAACCAAACAGGATGTATAAAATGTTTTTTTTCTTGCTGAACCTAAATTTTCTTCAAGAAAAGTTGTGGAGTTCTACATTGGAAAATGTTTAATGAGTGCTATAGGCTTTTCAAGAATTTTTAGGAGAACACATGTCCTTTTCTAAATCAAGTGGTGGTCAGCTGCACTGAGTTTCAGAGATAATTGCAAAATTCTCAGTGCAGGTTCGTAGCTGTGTTTTAGTTGGCATAGCTTTGTCACTTCTTCCTGATGTTAATACATAGCTCCCATTTGATGCCGTGAGATAAAGCTTAAAAGCAATTAATAAATTTTAGCTGTAGTGCTGATTTAGATCAGTACCTGGTATGGCAGTATTGATTTAATGGTGCTCCAAAAAAAAAAAAGGAGACTGTTATTGCCAGTGAATAATCTGTAACTACAGGTGAAATATTTATTACTTTACTTTATATTTACTTACGGAACAGTGACCATATGCAGATTATAATAATTAGTCTGTGTTGATCTTTTAATGTTCAGCCCATTTAATGTTCAGCCTTTGGATGAGCATGTTGTACTAATAATTATACTCTTACCTTCTGCTTGATTTACTCATTAAAATGAAAAAATATCGGAGTAGTCTTGCTCCTCATTAAATTGTAATGATCAGTAGCAGAGATCTAACGGAATGCTGAGATTAGGAAATGCTCATTTTAACACCTTCCCTCAAATTCTGGATACATATGTTGGGGGGGGGAGGGGGGGGAAGGGGGCTGTTAACCATATAAAGCTTCAGTTCCGAAAGTCTCAGTCTGAGAGTTGACCATTACCTTTTAAATATCAGAATTCACACGCCACCAAAATCATCAGTAATATCATTTAAGTAACACTTCCAAGTCTAGATAGTTTATGTATGTTGGTAAGAGATTGTAAGTGTGTGCATGTAGTAAATTTTAGTATTCTGTTTCATTTAATATCTTTACATATTTTTCTCTTGTACAGTTGTAACAGAATTAAAGCTGCTAGTGTTAATTTTTTTAATTATGTGGGATCTTGTTGACTGTAGAATGAAAAAAAGAAAAAAGGGATCTGACACTCCAAGGTGGGTCACAGAGCTCCAAAAACGGGGTCATAAAGAAAACTAACATTTGGTAATAATTAAACCACACTTTTTTTTTTTGTTTCCTTTTTGTACACAGGTTATCTCTTGTTTGGCCTTATTGCAATGTTGGTGGTTCTCGAGACTTTCTGTGAACTCCATGAGCTCAAAAAGTTTAGAAAGTTGTTTTATGTGAAGAAGGACAAGGAAGAGGACCAAGTGCATATAATGGAACATGACCAACTCTCCTTCTCTTCAATCTCGGACCAAGCAGCCTCCATGAAGGATGATCAGAAGGCAAATGAGCCTTTTGTAACTTCCCAGTCCCCAACTTCCAATGACAGCTCTCTAAACAATTAACGCAGGGATATCCATACCGTTGTTTTGGTGCATTTACGCTACTTACCATAAGAAATAGAGCACCTCATATTTTTTTCTGAAAATGTAAAAGCTGGAAGACTGTACTACTTTAACAAGAATTCATCACTTCTGACATAGAAAAGAATTCTGGGAAAAATACGGGAGCCACCCTGGGAATATGGAAAAAATGTAGGATGTGGCTGGGAACATGAGGCCATTTTGCTTGAGAGAGAAGGAGTTAGGTTTACCACTTTCAGAGGTGCCAGAGAGAAGGGCTTGCACAAGCAACTTCATCCAACACCTTTAGGAAGGTAGGCCTTCACTGACATCCGGCTCATTTAGTTGCACGCCCCATCTTGCAACTGGCTGGCAGTAGTGTAGTCATAGATTTATTTCAGACATGCCAAATATCATAATCTGGAAAACATTTCCAAAGCGATATCGATAGATCTCCTGGAGGGGGGAGTATCTAGATCATCCTGCTAATACCCAGTAACATGCAGGTGCAGATAATTCTAGGAATGAAAACACAAGGCTCTGGTCCCTTCTTTGCCCACACCATTTACATTGTAATTTCCTACTTCCTTAAAAGGTTCCCCAATCACAAGAAAAATGTTGTCCTGAAGAGAGTGTGCCTTGAGTCTTCCATGCTGTTTGTCTTTGTGTGAAGTACTTTTGTAAACTCTGAGAGGTTGCAAGACCAATTTAAAGTCCCGGGTGAGATGGGGTTGTAGGGAAGGGACACAGCTGCATTTAGGTCCTCTGTCCTGTGAAATGAGTAGGAGTAGGTGTTTAGCTGTGAGGAATAGAATGGAAAAGAGAACTGAAATTCAGTGTACGCCACAGTTGTCACAGTCATGTGCTTATGGCACTCTCCTAGTAGATGGTTGAAATCTGTTCAGCAGAAGGACTCAGTGCTGTTTCTTCCACAGTCCAACCCAGCATGGACTCTGTTGAACTGATAGCTAAGCAGAGGAAGAGAAATAGTGTTGCCTGTCAACATCGCCCTTTTTTTCTTCTTTTGCTTTTTTAACTAGTACTTGGAGCACTTTGGAGGACAAGGGAATGTTTCAGGGCAAAAAGATTTTTCAGTTTTTCATATGGCAAGAAAAAAGGAAAAATGTCACATTTGGTTCAAATGGAACCGAAATTTTTTCCCCTTGGGAAAAGTCACTAAAAAGTCAACATCTCGCTCAACTTCTGAAGCTGGAACCTCTTTGGCTGCAACAGGAGAGGCATTTTAGTTCAGCTACCAGTCACTGTGCTGAATGCAGGGACCTCAGAGTGAATTTCAGAGCAGGAGATGAGACTTAAGTGGTTGTAGTACTCTTTCTTCTGGCCTTAAGAATCTAGGATATGGGAATCTTAATAATGCTTTGCAATGAGCAAAAGATCTGGAGCACAAATAGCCATATTAGGACAGCTTCCCACATAGAAATAGTGTAGAGGAGAGCCTTTCCCCTGCAGTGCAAGCATGCCAGATTGCCTGTAATTTGGCTTTTAGTGCTTAGAGCTGAATAATACTTTACGGTAAAAGCAAAAAAAAAAAAATGCAGTGTGTCTAGATATAGCACACGTGGGGAAAAATACTTGAAAGTAAATAACCCAAAATATACTGTCTTTGAGCTTAATTATAGCTAGCATCAAACAGATTTTATATCTTTACTGGAAAAACTTACTTTATGGTTAAATCAGCTGGAAGTCTTCAGTTAAAATCTATATTTGTAGAAAACTAAAGCTAAAGGTTTTGGTTGTTTTGGGTTTTATAGATTAGGTGAGAGCATACTGTGTTTGCATGTTCCCAGGAAAGTGGCTATTTTTATACTGCTTAAGTTAACACAGTTCTATTTATACTGAATGTTAACCAATATATATGTACATATATACATAAATATATTTATATACTGTACATATGTCATAAATCACCAGAGTTTAACAGACATAGGAATGACATTTTAGATAATTGTTTTTTCCCTAGGCTTCTCTTTATACAGTGAATAACTGAAAAATATGGCATTAAAATGACACTGACATAAATTAAGAGTACTGTACTACAAGAAACATTTATACTGTTTTTTTCAGTAGAATTTTATTGATTTGTTTTCAGTACCTTAAAAATCAAGATGTCTTAATTTCAGTGTAACATTAAGTTCTAAAGGATATGCACAGATGCTAAGTGATATACAAAGTTAATTTTGCAGCGTGTACACAATTGCAAAATGTAGACACATTAAATGAAAGCACAGAATTCAAAGCAGAAGCGATAAACTAAGCAGTATACTGTGATGTAGATGAGTATTTGTTACTTTAAACTTAAATAAAAAGTCTGGCTTTTGCCTGCCTGCACTATGAAGTGGGGAGTATTTTCTCTAGTGATATGTGTGCGTGCACATAATGTGCAAAAATCCTGTCTGCGTTTGTCAAGATGGTGCTTCCTTTAGTCAGCCTTCCACAGCTCAAGGAGGGACTGTTAATGCCGGAGTGTGTTACCTAACCTTGATATTAATTGTAGCTTAGTATTGTGTTGATTATTCCTCTAGGAAAAAAACGTTCCAAAGTGTGTGTGGTTTTGTTTCAGATGCTGACTGATTATAGCAAATAAAAAATAGTGGTGTAACATCTATCTTGTCTTTATAACCTAACTAATATTTTAGGAAATCTGAAAAACTGTCACTGCAGGTTATCAGTACCACTAGTGAAAATAATAGCCTTCCTTTCCTACGGTTTTACATCCTCATGTGAAGCTAACACACAAGATCAGAATAGTTAAAACCAGAATCCAGATTAGAAGGAGAAAGATTATCATGCAAGAACCTTAATATAAATTGTGCATATCTTTCCCAGAGATGAACGGTGAAGTTGGATGCATGTAAACCAAAATGGAGAGTATGGGTCATAAAGCAATGGTGCTAAAACAAAAGTTGCAAGAGGGAGTTAGAAATGTGAGCAAATGACTTGTACACAGAAGGCCATTAATACCCTTATTCCCATGCTACGGCTGCCATTTGCCATCTTTTCTTTGTCTTTCAGTCATTAAATATTTTATAATTATCATTATTATTATATTTTAAAATTATTATTATTTCAAGGTAAAAAAATTGGCAGGCTATTTAGTTGTGTTGGGAGAAAGAAAACGAAAGAACCCACTTAAGTTTTGATCTTGGAGCTGAGCGACAGCCACGTTTATGTCTTTGAGAACGTGTCCTTCACTAGGAGTTTCTTTCCAAGGTTGACCCATGGCACCTATTGCAAGTGAACACAAGACTTGCTAATGGTTGAAATGAATAATTTTCTAAGTAGGTAACTTCAGAGACTTGAGTGGTTTGCAGCTTTAATGCCAGCACTACAGAAGTTACCCAGCTGGGTGTTTATGTCAGAGTAATTACACAAAAGCAGCAGTTCTGGATTACACTGAATGTTTGTCTGGCCCTGTATTTTGTATCTGGCAATGGCCAAGAGCAGGTACATGTGAACTTGTGTAAGGACCGTGCAAGTGTGTAGGAACAGTTCCCCAGAATGTTCTCCTGATTCCCAGCCATGTGCAGCTCTGGATCTATTACAGTATCTGGGAAGTATGGAAAGTCTGTGTAGGTATACTGTGTAGAAGACATGCTACACGGATGTGTGTGCTTTCCATTTTGGTCCATGAGAGACTGCCCCACACAAGATTACCTATTACTTTCCCACAAAGCAGTTTCAGGGTAAGTGCTCTGCAGTAACCAGGTGGGGTAGCACTGAAACTGGGACTGCATGGAATGGTCTCATGAAAAGGGGAAAAAAGGCAGGGGAAGGCCTTTTACTTGCTGTTACTTGGACATGGCTGTCCTCTGAGTGAATAGGAACATGCACAGAACCTGCTGATGATAAATCTTGCAACTCTACATTACCATTTGCTTTGTAAATAGCAGTCAGAAATGTACCGAGGTGAACCACAAGTGGCTAAAAATATTTCTGCCCTAATGTTATTCGTTCTTCGCCTTTCTACTGAAGCAAAAGAAAGTTACCATAAAAGGAAGCGGTGTTATTCCAGATGTGCACCAGTACAAAAGAAAGGGGTTTCTCTTTTCTGCACTAGTAACTGTCATTACTGTAGTATGTATCAAGAAGCTCATGGACAGCCAAAAGAAGTGTGTGTCTTCATGTTGCTTGTTTCAAGCAGAAACAGTAATTTTTGAAATGACTGTGACTGGCTCTGCAAATTCACATGCTCGCTAATGCATGTTAGGTACTTGATGTGTGTCATTTTCAATGCCTATAGTGTTGGTCTCTTCACTTCCTAAGTTACCATTCTAATTGCTTTTTATCATGGATTTCTTGTCCCAGTTATCTTCAGAGATCATCGCATTACCACTGATGGTGAGTGCTGTGATGCGGTTATTTTGGTGGTGATGATGCAGGTTTGTCAGAGCCGTTGCCTTAGCTGACAACGAAACTACCTCACGTGTGGCAGTCAGGGCCAAATGACAGATTTGGGTAATGAGGAGGGACAGTGTGGCGGGGAGCAGGTACATGGGCTGACAGCCAATGTCAGGACAATCAGCCTGGCAGACTCCTAAGTGACCACATAGTTTTCACCAGGCTTTGTTGCTTGTCCCTAGGAGTAAGAGGAAAATGCTTCTAGAGAGAGGAAGGAGGAAGTACATTGCCAAAAGTTACATGAAATGAAGTTGAAAAGAATTGGCTTTTTCACAATTTGTCTATAGTCTGTGGCTCTCTGTTACTTCAGTTGCACCAAATGTGCTATGAATCGGGAAACTGGTTTGGTGTTTCCCCAGTGTAGATGGTCCCTGCACTCCCTGAAGCAAGTTATGCTTGTTACTGCAGCAAGTTTTCCTCTGTTAAATCCACTGAGTGTTCAGACCCACAGGCAGGAGTGTCAGTGTCACTGCTGAAACTTCCTAGGGGCAAATGTGGCTCAGGGCACTACCTGGCCCTGGGGCTGCCTCCCTTTTTAGAGTCCAGGGTGGCTGGAAAGAGAAAAGTGAATCATCTACATTAAAAAGTGAGAAACCCACTCCCCTGGGAGACTCAAAGCTCCCTAAACCCTTTTTTTTTTTTGCTAATCCCAGAAGTCTTGAAGTCTTGAGCGTGTAGTGTATATGTGCAAGTATCCAGAATAGCACACAGAACTTGGACTCTATTTCTCTATGCCTAATTTTTTGAGACTGGTCAGCCCACTCAACCTTCTGAATTTATCTTCTCCGTTTAAGAATGCAACTCACAATATTCACTGACTGTCCATAAGTACTCACTAGTGCCTTGCTGGGCCACT